GATATCTCAGCTCTGGAAGGGGCTAGAGCCTCCATTTTTGCACTCAGGTCTAAGTCTCATGGCCCTCTATCAGAATCCAGAGTTTTGGGAATTGGAGAAACTTAATTTTTCGCCCGAAAAAAAAAAACGTAAGGGGTACCACTGTCGTTTTTTTTTTCGGGCCGAATTTTTGAGTTTCGATATCTCAGCTCTGGAAGGGTCTAGAGCCTCCATTTTTGCACTCAGGTCTAAGTCTCATGGCCCTCTATCAGAATCCAGAGTTTTGGGAAGATTGGAGAAACTTAATTTTTTCGCCCGAAAAAAAAAAAACGTAAGGGGTACCACTGTCGTTTTTTTTTCGGGCCGAATTTTTGAGTTTCGATATCTCAGCTCTGGAAGGGTCTAGAGCCTCCATTTTTGCACTCAGGTCTAAGTCTCATGGCCCTCTATCAGAATCCAGAGTTTTGGGAGATTGGAGAAACTTAATTTTTTCGCCGAAAAAAAAAAAACGTAAGGGGTACCACTGTCGTTTTTTTTTTCGGGCAAATTTTTGAGTTTCGATATCTCAGCTCTGGAAGGGTCTAGAGCCTCCATTTTTGCACTCAGGTCTAAGTCTCATGGCCCTCTATCAGAATCCAGAGTTTTGGGAAGATTGGAGAAACTTAATTTTTCGCCCGAAAAAAAAAACGTAAGGGGTACCACTGTCGTTTTTTTTTTTCGGCCGAATTTTTGAGTTTCGATATCTCAGCTCTGGAAGGGGCTAGAGCCTCCATTTTTGCACTCAGGTCTAAGTCTCATGGCCCTCTATCAGAATCCAGAGTTTTGGGAAGATTGGAGAAACTTAATTTTTCGCCCGAAAAAAAAAAAAACGTAAGGGGTACCACTGTCGTTTTTTTTCGGGCCGAATTTTTGAGTTTCGATATCTCAGCTCTGGAAGGGCTAGAGCCTCCATTTTTGCACTCAGGTCTAAGTCTCATGGCCCTCTATCAGAATCCAGAGTTTTGGGAAGATTGGAGAAACTTAATTTTTCGCCCGAAAAAAAAAAAAACGTAAGGGTACCACTGTCGTTTTTTTTTCGGGCCGAATTTTTGAGTTTCGATATCTCAGCTCTGGAAGGGGCTAGAGCCTCCATTTTTGCACTCAGGTCTAAGTCTCATGGCCCTCTATCAGAATCCAGAGTTTTGGGAAGATTGGAGAAACTTAATTTTTCGCCCGAAAAAAAAAACGTAAGGGGTACCACTGTCGTTTTTTTTTTTTCGGGCCGAATTTTTGAGTTTCGATATCTCAGCTCTGGAAGGGTCTAGAGCCTCCATTTTTGCACTCAGGTCTAAGTCTCATGGCCCTCTATCAGAATCCAGAGTTTTGGGAAGATTGGAGAAACTTAATTTTTCGCCCGAAAAAAAAAAACGTAAGGGGTACCACTGTCGTTTTTTTTTCGGCCGAATTTTTGAGTTTCGATATCTCAGCTCTGGAAGGGTCTAGAGCCTCCATTTTTGCACTCAGGTCTAAGTCTCATGGCCCTCTATCAGAATCCAGAGTTTTGGAAGATTGGAGAAACTTAATTTTTCC